CGACGAGCCCGCGGCACCTCACAGGGCAAGAGGAGGCTTCCCGCGTGCCCCCCACCCCCAAGCCCTGATTGGCCTGGGGATAGGGGAGCATGCCAAGCCTCTTCCAGGGCATGGGTGCCTAGTGGGAAGGGGGAGGGCAAAGTGGCTCCCCCACCTCCAGACCAATCATGGTCTGGGGGCAGAACAGCCCCGCCCCTTTCTGTGTGGCCCCGGGCTACTCCAAAAATTTGTGAAGTGACCCGCGGGCAAAAATTATTGCGCACCCCTGATGTAGATGGTATCTTGAGCTTTCGTGGGCACAACCTACTTCTTCAGATGACAGGAGTGTTAGAAGTCCAGATCCAAGAATCAATAAGGGAAGGAGGGAGGGCGGGAGAGGAGGAAAAAAAAGGGGCCTTCAGGGTCTGATCCTTCAACGAATACTGTACAGCAAACCTCCATAGAACTGTTTGAAGTCAACAGGCTGACTAATGCTTAAAGTTGAGTACACGGCAAGTTGTTCGAATAATCGGAGCCCTTAACTGTTTCCTTTATCTGTGTTTGTACAGTGCCTCTCACGAGAGAGTCCAAATCTAGACCCAGACCTTTGGTGCTACCACAGTAGAAGTGTTTCAATATAAAGTAACAGGCTATTTGAAATCAGTGGAATTTAATAGTTCAGTCCCAAAGAACGTGACCAATATGTAGACTTTAAGAAAAGAAAAAGGATCCTTCAATAAAATTAAAATCAGGCAATTAGTCTAGTTATTTTAAAAACTGTTTTCAGGGAACGTTGAGGACACTATTTTTAGGAACTATATACAATATATGGATGTTAAATTGTGGATAATCAGCTGAGTAGTCGATGGAATTTCCATCAAGTACTCAATTAGCCGGGGGAGGGAGGGAGGTGGAAGGAAGACGCTCGCTACTCTGCTGCCGCTCTGCCTTTTAAATGTAGTAAAAGCCACCTCTACATTTAAAAGGCAGAGGCACAGTGCGGGACTGAAGCAGTCCCAGCTTGCGCCAGGCTGTGCTTCTTACTACATTTAAAAGGCAGAACTGCAGCACCGCTGCACTTCTACCCCTCCTGCCGCCCCGTGGCTCTTGCTTCCCCACCATCCCTTGCTGCCTCTGATATGGGGGCGGAGGAGAGGAGGAACACAAACAGTCAACTTGACTACCTGATAAGCCTAGGGAGGAGAGAGAGGCATGCAGTCAACAGCATTAACCTATAAGCTTTTGCTATTAGTTAATCGTCTACACTATTACATCCCTACAGCAAACTTAGAAAAACTGCATATTTTGCACACATGAAATTTCTCTCTCAGCTAACAAATCCAGCAGTCAGAAATGAAAAGCAGACACTGAATGTTAAGGTTCAAACAGGAAGTGTTGAAAGGAAATCACACCAAATATAGAAACAGGAACTTTCTAATCTAAAACTTTCAAGCCTAGATATTACCCGTTAACAAATAAAAATAAAATCATATCACAGAACAGAGTTTTACATTGAATATAATGGATATTACATGTCAGACTCATTAATCTTTGCTGACTTTAATGAACAAAAAATCCTCTACACATCAAGAAGAAATGCCACAATCAGAATACGTAGCTGAGGCATGCACCACTATGCTCTACTTTAGTAAACGTGTGCACCGAAAGCACTGCAAGAAAAAACAACCCTGTAGTGAAACTGGTTTCTTTCTGCCCTGAAAGAGATGCCTTATTTGTGCTACCTGCCATATTAGACGCATCTAAATATAAGAACTCCCATGTATATTCATACCCATCATGTACTTCCCTCTACCCCAAGACATAAGATCTACTACCTCTGACACTTTGCCCCATAAGCATACCGTGTGAATTCTTTTGAGATGCCCAGACCCTTTCTACAGAACAGCTGGCACTTTTAGGTTGTTCCAGTATAGAATATATGATCTTGCCTGCTAAAAGCCACAATGCTTTATGAGTGCATGAAAAGTTTTTGTGGAAATGCGTGAAGCTATAAGACAAGAGTCCATCTAAGTGGCAAGAATTCAAAACTGTGTAAACTTGGCATGGAACACACAATTTACACCCAATTTTTAAAAACTGGAGCATGTTGCTACAAAAATCCTTACTCCAAATAAAGCAAAGAGATATTCAGCATTGGGCTTGATATATTAATGTTTGTGACAACAAAGCAAGTAGTCAAATTATATTGTTGAGCTTCTCAGAGAGGTTTTGTATTCTTTTGAAAGAAGTCTGGAGTTCCTGTGAGGCTCTCCTTCCTGTTTTGAACCAGTATAATCATGACCATTCAGCTTCCCCTATTTCCAGCCATCCATCTCCTCTACAGAGTGGGCCGCTGGACAGAACTTAAAACTATTTCTACCCCTAGGAACAGAGGCTAGATGCTTTGGATGTGTGACAGAAAGTATGTTAATGAAGTGAAAACAATTATTTTTGAAAATCAGCATAAGTGGTAACATGAATAATCTGATAAGATTCTTGATCAATAAATTAATATGCAGTTCTGAGACAACTGAGGTTCTTTAAAATACATGTTTTCTTGAAAAAATTTCACTGAATCAATATATTTGGATCATGAATATGATAGGAATCTACATGATCTACAGACCAACAGAATTTCATGACCCGTCCTTCGCTTCTGTGTAAATGCACAGTATTTAAGACACCAGACTGGACCAATGATATCTCCAACAACATTCCTCTGATAGTGGCCAGATGGTTCACAGGAATGCATAAATTTTGCAGTGCTGCATATGTGTGTGTGTGGTGGAGATAGGATATAATTAAATATTATGGGAGTATGGCAATAAGACTATAAAACACTAAGTGACCATCTGTTCTTTTTCCATTAGTGTAGTATATTTATGACTACCGTACATATAATGTCTGTTATATTGCAATGAGTTTCCTACCTTGGCCCAGCAGACATTACTGGACAGCTTGCTTCTGTGCAGAACTCTGTGATAGTCCCATACAACATATTGATCTGATTGAAGAAATCCACAGCTGCAAAGAAAATACATCAACAGTAAGTATACATGGAATGGAAAAGACATATTTTGGTTCATCTTCTCTGGTGGATTAGCTGGTCAGATGGAAGTATCACGGTCACATCTCTAGTGGAGACAAAACACATCATTTTTATAGAAAAGTGATTTTCTTTCTGTAACTACCTGTAACAGCCTTGTCAGTAGGGATGTAAAAGAGTAACTGATTAGTCGACTACCCAATAAGCTTAAGCTTAGTCACTTCCACTACTTGCATTCTCCAGCAGCAGCCCCAGGCTACGGGGGATCCTAGTGGGAAGTTGGGACCCCCACTGACAGGGGCTGCTTCGCAGGCAGTAGCCCCTGTCCAGACAGAGGTTTCCTGTCCGTGGCCAAGGGCTGCTACCAGCTGGGCAAGCAGACCTGCTCAGTCCTGGCTTGTGTCAGGACCAAACCCTATACAGCACTGCAATTTAAAAGGACGGAGGAGTCAGGCAGCCTATCCCCCAGCTCCTCCCGTGTTTTAAATTGCAGAGCCACACAAGCAGGGACTGAGCTGGACTGCCTGCCTGCCCGGAACCTACTAAATTTAGAAGCCTGGTGGGCGGGCAGCCCAGCTCAGTTCCTGCTTGCACTGGGTTGGGGACAAAACCCCGTTGTGGCTCTGCAATTTAAAATGCAGTAGGAGCCGGGGAATGCCTTCCCCTATCGAATAATCAAGTATTCGATGATAAAAATTTTATCAACTACTCGATTACTAAAATAACCTAAATTTAACATCCCTACTTGTCAGAGTGACCATTTCTGCTTGCTAGCTGATTTGACCTGATCAATATATAAGAACACCATAATCCATATTTTTAAGTCTAGTGCGCAATTTCTCTTGGCTGAATGCAATCTTTTCGGAAAGCCATGTAGTGATTGCCCAGCTTAAACCTGAGTGCTGAAAACCAGTATTCGTACATCTAAAAACAAATTCTCCAGCCTGTGGCAGTTACTGTTTGCTTAATAATACAATATAATAAAACAAAAATAAAAAACAACATGACCAAAGAAGTACTGGTTTAGAAATATTCCTCTCAAAAGAATTAGGCTCAGATTCTCCAGGGATGCAGGTGTTGCTGCACTCAGCCTCACAACACCTAACTGATTTATGAGCCCATATCACATATTCAGAAGGGATTTAGGTACTTAGGAGTCAAAACTCCACTGGCAGTGGCTACATCTAAAAAGAGAGTACCATTCATTATTTGTAAGTGTAAAAAGATGCTTAAAATACACACACAGTTCTCTCAAGTATACAAGGCAGTTATTTTTCCTAAGGACTTACTATTAACTGCAATCCATTCATTGAGGTCTTCTCCTTCTGGCAACATAACAGCTTGTCTAAGGTTGCCACTTCCCAAGGTTGCTTCTGCATGTTTCAAGAGCTCATACTGATGAGAGCCTTCAGGAATATTCTTTTTGGGTTTGAATGTTTTAGAGGACCGACTGCCACTGATAGAACATAAATAGATTTTAAATTATGCCAATAGTAGTTTTGTATTTAAATATAAAATCAGGTTTTTCCTGACAAATAGCCCCTATCAGAATGGAGTCCAGATCCTGAATGGTGCTATTACAACACAAACAAATACCAGTAATAATATATGCCAACTTAGAGAGTCATGTACACAAATAGCCAGAAAAAATCAGATAATCAGACTGTGAAATGGTGAGACCAGATATTCTTAAAGAGCAAAGCCCTTGCCTTTGTTGAGCATGAAAAGGGGGATAATTCTTATTTTGCTTACACTAGTGATTTGCACCAGTACAACTGACAGATGAATCAGGCCCAAAGTTTTGCTAATAACCTTTTAGTGGAAATAAACACATTAAGTTGGTGCACAAGCTGTGGTATTACTAGCGACACATGGGATTTACCAAAGCATGTTTGGCTCACATGCGTGTCACGCTGGTTGCCTGGCACAGCCTGAGCCAACAGAAAGATGCTAACTGTGCATATTCTGCAGTTAACGGATGGCAGCGGCCTCTGCCTTGACCGCATCAAGCTTTCAGACCATGCCAGCATCTTCCCCCTAGAGTAGTAGGGTCAAACCTGGATTGTACCCAGTGCCAAAGGTTACAACCCTGTCCTTTCCACATGGGTTTGGGGTCAGATTCTGCAATCCTGTTTCCACCCCGCCCTGGTCTGCAAGCCACTCCACCACTTCTGCTCATGGATGCTCTCCCCCAAGCCTAGACCAAGGGTCACCTTCCCCCGCATCCAAACTTCCTCCCCCCCACCATAGGCTACCCATTCCCTCACATGCCAAACTCCCTCCCCCCCACCATAGGCTACCCATTCCCTCACATGCACCACTCCCC